CTCCCCCCTCCCCCCATCCTCCTCATCACCATCACATTCAACCCCACTGCCAGGCCTTGTTGGTCGATGCCTCGGCAGCAGCGCGTCAAGAGAGACCCCCCTTGGGCTGCTGGTTCGCGTCGACGTCGAAACAGATGAGCCTGCGCCGTCGTCGTTGCCTCGGCGGCCCGGGGAACGGAGACGCGCCGCTGGTCGCTCAGCTCGAGCTGCCGCTGCTGCTCCCGGACTGCCAGGCGAAGTCGGCGCGCTTCCTGGCTGGAGGACCGGAGGGAGAAGAGTGCTGAGGACGGGGGGGGAGGACGACGAAGGAGGACGACGGGGGGAGGACGGACGAGGAGCGGGAGAGAGGAGGACGGAGGTGGAGGAGGAGGAGGAGGAGAAAGAGGAGGAGGAGGAGGAGGAGGAGGAAGGACGGACGGAGGAGGACAGACGGAGGAGGACGGACGGAGGAGGAGACACGAGGAGGACGGAGGAGGAGGAAGAGGAGGCGGAGGAGGAGGAGGAGGACCTGAGTAAATCCATGATGCGTCAACGGTGCTGCAATACGCCCTCCCGCCCCAGGTCCACCCCTCACAAGCCCCGGCAAGCCTTCCCTCTTCTACCAGAGAGCGCCCCCTGGAAAGACGAGCACCCTGAGATCCTGCCGCTCAGGCGAGAGCCCCGTTTCGAAAACAACCTGCAGTGACTCTTCTGGCCAGCGATGGCGCGCATGCGAAAAGGCGGGAGTGCAAAGTTGAGCAAAGCATCCGATCGGCCCTGTCTCGCCAAGGAAGCGCCCTCCAGCCGCGCAGCTGTGGGGCAGACTCGGGCCCCCAGTGCTCCCCCATGCTCGGGGGAGGCTCGAGCGAGAGCCCCAGTGAAGAGGGACCGCCCTCCGTCATGGTGACCGCTGCAGCGTTTTAAGACGAATGCGCGTGGCGCGAGGGCGAGAGCCGCATTTTGAGAACGGCCGACCCTCTGTCCTTGAAGCTGGTGGAGTTCCTGCTCCAGGGTCATGAACGGTAAGGGGGTTCTCAAGCAGCACACGCCCGGCCTGGCCTGCGGGCACGTCTGGTGGTGCGACACGGGGAAGATACTTATGGGGAAACGGGATGCAGGAGGAAGAGGACGAGGGAGTGAGGGACGGGGAGAAAAGGGAGGAAGAGGAGGAGGAGGAGGAGGAGGAGGAGGAGGGAGGAGGAAACAGGGTCTTGATGGACAAACAGGGAGGAGAGAGGGTCCTCTTCTTGCCTGGACTTCGGCCCCCCGAGAGCATCTTCTTCGCTTTCTTGAGGTCCTTCCTCGCTTTATCGATGTCCTTCTGCAGCTTACGCTCCTTCTTCAGCTTCTTTGCCAGCTTCTTTGCCACCTTGGCCTCCCTCTTCTCCTGCTTCTTCTGCTCCTTGCTCTTTTTTTCCTCCTTGGTGCCACCTGGCTGGCACTCCGACTCGCGGCACGACTTTGCGATCCAATCCCCCCGTTCTGCTGTCCTCCCACTGCGAGGACGCCTTCCGACATTCATCACACGCTCTCCTTTTCAACTCCTTCGAGCTCCCCATCCTGTCGTAGTCCTGCTCCTCCCCCCGCGGCCACCTCGCCTTCCCCCCCCTGTCTACGTCCTCATCTTCACGCGCGCCACGTCGTCAACCCCTGTCTACGTCTTCACACCTGCCCCGCCGCATGCCTTTCTGTTGCGCGCTCCCATCTGGTCACTACATCCCCCTTCCTCCAAACTCCCACTCTCTTTCTGTCTCTCTCTCTCTCTCTCTCCCTCTATCTCTCTCTCTCTCTCTCTCTTTCTCTTTCAATCTTATCTTCTCTCTATACATAGATATATGTGTATCTGCATATGCAGGTCTCTCTCTCTCTCTCGTCCCCTGATTCATTATCATCACCACGTCGGCGCATCCCTTCTAGATTCGGACACCAGTGAGCCGAAACGTGGAGCTCATGCTGTGGCGCGCTCTGGTGAGGCACAGAAGCCGTTTCAACGCCTTTCACGTTGCTGGTCGCATGCAAGGCCGTGTAGACACACACGGTAATAACTGCGATTATCTTATTTTGACTCTAGTCTCTCTCTCTCTCTCTCGTCTTCCCTTTCTGCATACATATATGTATATACATATATACAACAGACACTGTTATGCGTATGTGAAAATAGTTGTGGGTATACCTATACGACCACCCTGCAGGTGATAAGGAGGTTGGGGGGGGAGGGGCCCAGCAATAGGCAACAATGGAGATTGTTGCGTTGCCGCTCGCTCTTGGGAGCCATGGTGTCGAGTTCTTTACGTCACCCTTCGCTCGTCGGCGCCTTGATACCATCCCCCCCCGGGAACTGTGCCGAGTGCAACAGAAGCCTTGAGCCGAAATCCTTGAATGGTAAGAGAGTTGACGGGGGGGGCGGACCCAACGTCCCACTCAATCGATCTCACAATGGACCCCACCATCGATTTCACAATCGATCTCCCCCGATCGATCGCACGATCGATCTCACTCGATCGATCTCACTGTCGATCTC